ACCATGGTACCCTGTAATATTGCTCGGTTCTGTCTCCCGCCCTCCCTTGTTATTCTCCTGATTCCAGCCTTAGCCGAGGCCTTGTTGTTTCTCCTGGGCTGCCGCAGCTGCTTCAGACCCAGTTTCCCCGCTAGGTCGTGTCAAATCCATCCTTCCTGGGCTGGCCGCCGCCGATCTGAGGGCTCCCAGCACCCTGCCCTATCACAGCCGTGCTCCTCAGAAGATGCACAGGGCTCCACGTGGACCTGGCCCTGCCCGCCTCCCCACTCAGTACCGACCTGGGTACACCAAGTACCTGCGCGTCTCCAGCACGCACCAAACAGTTCCGCCCTCCGGCAGCCTCACCCGGACCAGTCCAGCTGTCACCTCCTCCAAGAAGCCCTCCCTGAGGGCCCCGCCCCTCCACAAAAGCCTTTATGCTCCCAAAGCCCTACGCCCCTATAACGTGCTAGTGCTGCTACTTTCTACTTCTGCGCTTGCCCGCCGCGGGCCTGTGCACACTTTGCGGGATGTAATATGTCATAATCGGCTTTGTAGCCCCGGGCCCTAGCCCCGCAGCTGAGCCCTCCAAACCTCAGGAACTCCTCCCTGCAGAGGAGCCAGGGCGCCCTCCCTCAGTGTGCCTTTAACCCAGGGCGGGGGCGGGGCAGAGGAGCCTGCACAGAATCAGCGGTCACTGCCTGCCCAGTGAGGCGTCAGGGCCCGGGCGGGAATGACCCAGGACAGCGCCGCGGCTGGGCTCGGCGCTCTGGGCCGCGCTGGCGCTCGGTGCCCCGCCCCCAGCGGCACGCGCCCGGTCGCCTTGGCAGCGCGGCGGCCGCGGCCTGCGGAGTGAGAGGAGCATGTGGAGCGGCAAGGAGGGGACGGGCCCTGCCCCTGCCCCTTCTCCGACCCCGGCCAGGCCCCGCTCTCCGGCCCCAGCCCCCGCGGGCGAGCGCGGTAAGAAGTGGGGTGCCCTTCGGCGCGGCGTGGCCCGGACAAAACACGCGAGCGGTGCCGGGGTGGCGCCTGCCGATTCCTCAGAGAGGCTGCCGGCCCCAAGCGGCGCAGCGGGAGGGTTGCCCCTGGGAATCCCAGCTGCTGCCAGAACTTTGGGCGCCCCCAAACGGGCGAGAGAGGAGCTCCAGGGCACTAAGTGGGTCCGCCTTCGGTGCGATAGGTTGCTGAGACGAAGGTGTACCTGTCGCTGTGCTCTTACGGTCTCCAGGAAGGTGTGTCTGCGGCTCTTCTCGGCCCGCATTTCGTGGAAGCCCCAGAGTGCAGGCCCCAGGTGGGCAAGAGCATCTTTAGATCGCTCTGACTTTGCACCTACATACCACCTCCGTCTTAAACACTTCTCTGCCCCTGAACCAGCTCTAGCAAATGAAGCGTAGCCGGAATGGCAACCCCCTCCCCCTTTTCGATTTTGGATGCTTGTTTTAAAGTGTGTGTTTGTGGATAGGGAACTGTGCTGGGAGCCTTCCTCATTCTCACTGCACCCGAGAAATGGGCATTGTCACGCTCTGCCTTTAACGTAAGAGGAAATTTGAGCTCGAAGAATTGAAGTTGCTCAAAGTTACCCACTACAGATTCTGGGCAGAGCACCCAAGTCTGACTCACTCTCAACCCTTGGATTTCCCAGTACTTGGCTCCTCCAGCATAGAAGAACATATTTTGGAGAGAACCACCTCCAAAATATGGAAATTTTAAAACATGCTGCCAGAGGTGCAGATGAAAAATGAAATTTGGGTTAGATTCCTGACATTTTCCTGCATAGCTGAGTTATTCCCTAGTTTTTACTTTACTATTTGAAGACTGATTATCTTTCTCCTAATATGAATACAGGATAGGAAATAAATTATTGGTGCCATAAAATCCTGACATACAATACAAAGATGAATTTTAAATGAAAGGGAGAGTAGCAGAAAAATATAGCAGAAACTTTTAAACACTTGAAATCCATGGCTAGCTAATTAAATGAGAATATTTATGTAACTTTCTATAGCTATTTTTAGCTTGTAATCTAAGATTCCTTTATGCCTTCACAAAAATGAGTTGTAAATCTGACGCAATTTTGTGTGTCCTGGGTGTGGTTGAGGCAGCACTGAATCTCAGATTCTCCGGGCAATCATTCATTCTCTTTTTAACACCAACGAAGATAGTAGCCAGAAGGGAGGAAGGAAGCCCAGTGGGAGCCCAGCTCCAACTTCTGTTGGAGGGATCTACTTGCTTTGTTTCCTGGCAAGGATGCTAAAGCAACATTTTCTAGATTGCATTCCAAGTGAGCCTTGGTCACATAAGTCTGGAAAATGCATCATTCTTATCTTCCCTCCCCAACAAGCTCAACAATTTGAAGAGTCTTTGTGCACATGTTTTGAATTGTAGATGAGGCTCTGTTTAGCTTTGTTTAACTCAGCACTTTTCAAACTTATCTGAGAATAAAACCTATTCTATTTGGAACATACAGTGGCCTGTACTTCTAAGAAAAGCAACAGCATAACTTATATCCCAGAAGGATGTGGGCCTTGCAAAAAGATGCTTTATAAAATAATGTTGAAAACACTAACACCATTAAGGAAAGCTGCACATATATTAGAGGAAGGAGATCTCAACTCCTGCTTTGTTTCTTTCTTCTTAAGCACTGAACAGGGAAAAATCACCTTTAGAAAGAGAAATGGAAGGCTGGATAGGTAAAGAGTTTCTGTGAGCTAGACCTCAACTTGGTATTGAAGAAGAACTGACAGTTATGTTTGAAGAGGCTATCAACTTGGGATGGTGTAAAGGGTATCCAAGAAACCCGTGAGACTAATGATTTTTCAGATCCCTTTTGAGATATATTCTTGGACAAAATTGTCTTTACTTGAACCTATTTTAAGAAACTTTGAGTCACCTTAAGTGGTAAGTGGAAAGAGGTTTTGAGTCAGTTTGATTCTGCACTCTCCCATTATCTGCTGCATGGTTTTGGACAAAATATTTAATTGCTCTGGATGTCATTTGCCTTAGCTACTGGTCCTGGCACATAATAGAGGTAAGTTCTCCCTGTATGTCACTTTCCAAGTTTGGGTGCTGACTCAAGCCAGTGTCTGCTCACCCCTCAGTGGGTACTTCTTTGGCCCTACTTCTCCAAACAGCATTTTTATTCTCTCCCACTCCTTTTATTTCTCTCTTCTATCCTTAATTATGTTTCCTTTTCTATTCCACCCCTACTATACACACACATACTTCATGTATTTGAAAGAAGTATAGTTTGGGGTTTTTTTTTGTTTTTTTGTTTTTTTAACAAAAAAGGCTCTGGAATAATGTGATGAAGGATGCATTTATTTTTCACAAGCTCCAGAATCTATTGCTGGTCTCCAGGAAGATTATTATAATTTGTGTATGGAAAAATCCCAGAAAATTAATCCTTTTATATCGCATATACTCCAAGAAGTGGATGAAGAAGTTAAAAAGGGGTAAGGAACACAAATACTTGGTTACATCTATAGTGTTCACTGATATTCATCTGTGTGAAAAGCCTGGAATACTGAGTGATTTTATAGCCATTTGAAAATGCTCAGTATAATGGACATATCTTTTGATTCAGGTAAGTAAGTAGATAAGCAACACTGTTAGTAGGTCTTAGAGGTGGTATAGTATACTGGAAAGAGCACTAGACCAGGAGTTCCCAAGCCTGGGCTCCAGGCTCATATTTAACTACTGAAAGGTAGGTGAATTTAGGCAAAACATTGAGGTTTTCAATGTCATTAGTTATAAAGTGGGGATACTTTCCGTGTGTGGGAAATTAAATTATATAGTACATACTAAAGTGCTTTGCAAAGCTGCAGAATGTTCAGTAGTTTTAAGTTACCTGGTGTAAATCTACTGTATATTTGTAAGTCTACTACATACTTGGTTCCAGTAATGTTATCTGTGATGTTACTATTAATATTTACACATGAAGCAAAGATACTTTTACTTCTTTACTGGGTTTCTGTGTATTTCAAAATCTTTTTTTTGTATTTTAACAGACTGGAAGAAGGAATAACATTAAACAT